CCCTCAGGGTTACCACGCATGATTATTTCACTCCATTCCCTTAGTTTAAATGTTAGGGTGCTGGGAAAGCTCAACATGTGACTCCTCTGGACGTACATTCACCTAGAGATAGTCTCCTGGATGTTCTTGTGCTAAAGAAAATTCTATCAGGTGTGATTCATTTTAGAGGATCTGGAAGCCCCAGAGCTTTTCAAGTAGCCAAGGATCTGCTGATAAATAGAGTGGCTTCTGAGGGGCGGAACAAGGACCCCACTGAAGGTCCGTGAGGTTTCTGCAGCCTTGGGAATGATCTCTTCAAACCACAGGATAAACACTGACATCAGAGCTCGTCTAGTCCAAGCCCATAGAGGACACAAAATTCACCCAACATTACAGTGAATTGGGTGCCATGATGGGATTAGAACCAGGATCCATGTTTCTCATCAATCTAATGCTTTTGTTTTCAACAGGAATTTTCATTGGCAACAGTTCATAAAAAGCTAGCTGTTGCCTCATTTTTCTGAAGGACTTTGTGCAGAGGGGAGGGGTAGCTATGAGAGGAGAAAGAGATAGATGGTTTGAGGGGGTATTTTGCCCTAGCACAGTGCAGTGGCTTGGGATCCAGCAGGAACACCCTCCTAAGTGCCCAATAGCAAATAAGCAACCCAACCAAGAAAGAAACTGTTTTACCTGCGAAAGGGCGTCTTTGCACAGTGGACACTTCGCATTGTGATCTAGGCATCTTTCGAGACATTTTAAGCAAAAGGTGTGCCCACAAGGTGTTGTAACTGGCTCATAGAACAGTCTGAAATTTAGGAATCAAAATGGAAGAAAACTGCAATAAGACCAAAAATAAAAGACAGAGCTACTGAAGGTTAAGATTTTATAGTATTATTTGGAAATTCTGCGTGTTGGGGGGAGTTCTTTTTTAAAAATCTATGCTGCTGTTGCACTTCAGGAAGGTATTTGCTTTTTATTTCTGAGCTGAATTGTAAAATAAAGCATTTATTAAAGTTGAGGACATAGGCAGTTCATTTTGTAACAGTAGTTCTAGTCAGTCTCTTCTGGAACATCCGGATTTTTTCACTGTTTAGAGATAAATACCCAGAGTGTCTGAATAGATTCTATTCTAAAATATTTAGCCAACTTATTTACCTGGGTATATGTAAACATGCAGAGAGATAAACACACACACATTTATATGTTTACTCATTTAAGTACTTTGTATCACATTACAATTTTAACCTAAGCAATGTCTACTCCCTGAAGGATTTTGAAATTGCACCTGTAAGAAACATATAACTGCCTGTGTCTACGGATGAATCATTTTCCTAGGGGTGGTATAATAATATTGTTAATGTGTTTACTGATAGGTACATACATATATATGTATGCATATACTTCAATTAAATCCTATTTTAATTGTTTTTGTGGGGGCTGGATATTTTCAAAGTGATCTGAGGGTCTTTTAAAAAGCTATTCTGTACAATAGCTAACATCTGGAAACAGCCCAAGTGCCCATCAGCAGATGAGTGGATAAAAAAGCTGTGGTACATTTACACCATGAAATACTATGCAGCTGTAAAAAAGGATCTCTTACCCTTTGGGACAGCATGGAGGGACCTGGAGAGTATTATGCTAAGCTAAATAAGCTAGTCAGAGAAAGACAAGTATCACATGATCTCACTCATATGTGGAGTATAATGAACAAAATAAACTGATGAACAAAACAGATCCAGAGACATAGAAGCATGGAAGGGACTGAGGGATCTCAGAGGGAAGGTGGGAGTGGGAGAGTGGGTGGGGAAAGATTAATCAAAGAACTTATATGTATATATGCATAACCCACGGACACAGACAATGGTATGGGGAAGGCCTGGGGGGGGGGTGGATGCAGGGTGGAGGGGA